CTTCTACAGAAGGTGTTGGGAAAACTTGACAACAAGCAAAATAATGAACCTGGACCACCTTCTTACACCATACTTTACACGCCAAAAATAAATGCAGAATGGATAAAATGTGAGACTTGAAACCATAAACATTCTAGAGGAGAACACAGGCAGTAATTTCTCTGACATTGGCCATAGCAACTTCTTTCTAGGTATGTCTCCTGAGGCAAGGGAAACAAAATTAAAAACTATTGGTACTACATCAAAATAAAGTTTCTGCACTGTGAAGGAACTAAAAGGCAACCTACAGAATGGGAGAAGGTATCTGTAAATGACATAACTGATAAAGGATCAGTATCCAAAATAAATTAAGAACTTATTTTTAAGATTGATTTATTTAGAGAGAACAAGCGAGTAGTGGGGGTAGGGAGTGCAGAGGGAGAGAGAGAATCTTGAAGCAGACTCCCCTCTGAGCTTAGAGCCCAATGCAGGGCATGATCCCAGGGTCCTGGGAACAAGCCCCACAATGGGCTCTCTGCTCCGTGGGGAGCCTGCTTCTCCCTCTCCCTCTCCCTGCCACGACCCCTGACTGTGCTAGTGTGTGCACGCTCTGTCAAATTAATTAAAAGAACTTATAAATTCAATACCCAAAAAACAAAGGAAAATGGGCACAAGACATGAACAGACATTTTTCCAAAGAAGACATACAGATGGTCACCAGACACCGAAGATATTCATCATCACTTTCCATCAGGGAAATGTGAATCAAAACTACAGTGAGTCATCACCTCACACCAGTCAGAATAGCTAAAATCACCAACAAAGGAAACAACAGGTGTTGGTGAGGGTGGGGAGAAAGGGGAACCCTCTTACATTGTTGGTGGGAATGCAAACTGGTACAGCCACTCTGGAAAACAGTATAGAGCTTCCTCGAAAGTTAAAAATAAAAATACCCCATGACCCAGCAATAGCACTTCTGCATATTTACCCAAAGAATACAAAAATACTAATTGATAGAGATATGTGCACCCTGATGTAGCATCATCTACAATAGCCAAATTATGCAGACAGCCCAAGTATCCACTAATGAGTGAATAAAGATGTGGTATATGTGTTTGTAACATAATATTACTCAGTTATAAAAAAAAAGAATGAAATCTTGCCATTTGCCAGGACATGGATGGAACTCAAGAGTATAATGTTAAGGAAAATAAGTCCAAGAAAGACAAATATGAAGTATTTTCACTCATACGTGGAATTTAAGAAACAAATGAGCAAAGGTGGAAAAAGAGTGACAAAGCAAGAAACAGATTCTTAACTATAGAGAACAAACTGATGGTTAGCAAAGGGGAGGTGGGGGGATGGGGGAAATAGGTGATGGGGATTCAGGAGGACACTTGTGATGAGCACCAGGGGACATATGGAAGTACTGAATCACTGTATTGTACAAATGAAATGAATATTACTCTGTAAATTAACTAACTGGAATTTAAATTAAAACTTATAAAAATTCAGATTCTGGGGCCCCACTCAGTTCTAAAATCTATTACATCAGATTTAGAGGATCAGGCATTTGGAAAAACAAAAACAAAAACAAAACAGCATTCTTAATAAACTTCCCCACAATTTCAGTGCAGCCCAACACTGACCCGCACCCAACAGATGACATCAGAAGGTCTTATAAAGTCCTCAGCCAGAGATCCCCTGGCTCTCAGTGGTCCCTGAACTAGAGCTACACTGCCCGCAATGCAGGGAAAACAGCTTGAGCACAGTGGAGATGGGCGTGTACTCGAGTTCTGAGGGCCCAGAGCACACTAAGGATGGGATACAAGAAAAGGGAAAGAAGTTATGCCTAGAGGTTACATAGGGTGAGGGGAAGAGGGACCAGTGCCAAACAGGCCTTTCCAGGATTAGAGACCAAGGCATACTTTTAGGCTGAGAGCAGAAGTTGTTGGGAAGTAAGACTGAAGATAGGGGAAAAGACTCCATGATGGCAGGAGAACGGGAAGCCTCAGTGGGAAAGACCCTGCTTGGATGGCAGGAGGCATGAAAGAGCGTGGCTCAGGCCATACAAGCTGCAAAAATGACACTTGTGATTATCTACAGCTGGCTGTCCAGTGCAGTGGCCATAAGCCACATGCAGCTACTAAAGCATGTGTGTGGCTACTGTGCCTGGAGTTGTGCTGGAAAATGTAAGGTGCCCTGAATTTTGAAGATTTAGTAAAAAGAAAAGCAGTGTCTAATATCCCACTAATCACTTTTCTATTGATTACATGTCAAACTGGTATTTTGGATATATTAAATAAAGTATATTAAAATTGATTTCACTTTTTTTGTTGTTGTTTTTTAAGATTTTTTTATTTATTTGACACAGAGATCACAAGTAGGCAGAGCAGCAGGCAGAGAGAGGCAGAAGCAGGCTCCCTGCTGAGCAGAGAGCCCGATACGGGGCTCAATCCCAGGACCCTGGGATCATGACCTGAGTCAAAGGCAGAGAGCTACCCAAGCGCCCTGATTTTACATTTTTTTAATGTGACTCCTAGGAAATTTAAAATTACTTATGAGGCTCCTTGAGGCTGACTTGATATTTTCTATTGAACAATGCTGATCCAAAAGTTACAGAAGCCAGAACAAAAAAGAAACCCCACCAAAACCAAAACAAAACAAAACCCTATCTGCAACCCCATCACCAAAAAGCAAAAACCTTTCTACAATCCCAAAAATGTAGGGTTGGCCAAATTGATGAAATCAGTGCTACCGAAGCCCAACTCATTGTCAGTAGAAATGAAAGTACAGTAGAAAGTGTATAAAGATAACTGGTTCTCAGGTACCATTTACATACAGCAATTAATTCAAAGATGGTAAGTGCTTCTCACCCATTCTTAAGGCAGGCCCTCAAGGCCCCACAATGGGAAGGAAATCACCAACCAGCAGGCAGCCCAGAGGAACCAATGTGCACTGAGTACCTGCGCAATTCTGAGAAAGACACAGGACAAGGAGGGGCCAAACCAGCCTTGGTGTTATCCACACTTGAAAGGAATAAGGAGGAAAATGAGCCTGGGAAAAGTTAGTCCTTCCCCACCCCTCACCGCCCCCATCCCAGTCACACCGTCTTCCTCCAAACTCCTCTTGATTCCGATGTGCATGCATTCCCCACCCCACACCTGCCCCCACTCCCACGACTGTGAGTGGGCAGTGAGGAAAGTTCTGGGTGCCACCTGGCTCCTTCCTCAACAGTTCTGGCATCCATCAGATGTTCCTTCCTCCCCCAACCAACCTCGACTCCGTGGTATGTGGTGTCAGTCATTTCCAACACACAGGCCACCTCTCTGTTCCCCAAAGATAACAGAGCGAGCAGGGGTGTTTGCTGGCTGGCAGACTTATCTAAGATCAACACTGGCAGATCCTGTGTTCAGACGCCTCCAGGGTCAGGATTAAGTGAAGGCTTCGTGACTCAGCAGGTGCCTGGTCACCATAGTTGGCTTGGGGGGTTGGGGGGCAGGATTTATTTGGTTTTGCTTTGGGAGAAGGGGCTCTGAAAAAGCTACAAGTTTCTCTGAGAACTCCCTATTTCTCCACACCCTTGAGCCAAGAGGTCTAAGCTCAGGTGGACAGCAAGGGTAAAGGTTTCCTGGCGACACCGTTGCATTCTGCTGGGGCTAAAGGAGGAATTCCAGCCCCCACAGCAGGCTGGCGAGATGGTTTCCAGCAAGAGGTACTTCTAAGGGGCTTCGTCCAGCCCCTCCCACTGTCCCTTGTCTCAGCAAGGGCCCAGTGCCCCCCTTTAAGTTGGGTGCCCGGTCATTTGCTGGTCAGCTGTCTACTGCCTCAATATCCTAACTGGCTCCTCTGACCCCACCCACCCCACTCAGAACAGATGGATTTCCCTAGAACAGCATGTTTGCTGTGGAATCCGGATGGCCTATCAGGGAAGGCACCGGCCAGCAGCCAGGAAACTGGAAAGCCGGCACTGCCACTGAAGGTGTGTGGCTTTGAGGAGAGTAGGGCCTTTCTGGTGTTCAGGGCTCCTTCAGTGGAATCAACAGTCAGCCTCCCAGCTCTTCAAGGTCTTTCCAACTCTTGTATTCTACAGTTCTGTCACTCCTCTGTTCAAGAACCTTCAGGGGCCTCCCTCCTGCAGATAAAGCCCGAACTCCTTGGGCTAGCAGCAGCCTTCAAGGCCATGCAGAACCTGACCCTGAACCACCTTCTAGGCCCTTCCTGATGACCTCCCCCACTGACACCCTCGCCCAAGGCAGCCAGCTTTCCTATCATTGCCTCAAATGCTCTACGCCCATGCCTTCTGTTCACCTTGGCTCCTGCCGCTCTGCCTGCGGGGGTGCGCTTGCTCCATCTCCACTGTCTGCCTCTTTCATGGAGCCCTTCCTAACCTCTCAGCTCCCAGCCCCAGCTTGAAGTGAGTTCCTCCTCGGGAATGCTAAATCTCTGGGTAGACAATTCATTCAGCCCTTAGGAGTCACCGCCTGGGCATCCAATGAGACGAAGCTCTCCAGATGGGTAAGCAATGCCCCACGACGTTAATGAACTTCCATCCGAGAACATGGGACCGTGGCATATGCTTGCAAGCCCTGCGGGCCCAGATCACAAGGGGTTGTCACGTGCAGGATACCTCAGAGGTTATGAAGGATTTGCACACCATCACCTCAGGTCATCCTCAAAACCACTCTGAGGAGCCGCCCTGGCGCAAGGGGGTTTCCTGATGGCCTGCCTGGGGCCCGTCAACTTAGCAGTAGTCACCTGTGCCAGTCCTGGGCCACGGCCCCTCTGCCGCCGGGTCCAGTCTTTTCCCTCTGGGAGCCTCCCTGGGGGAAGGGGAGGCAAGCCAACTCGTGAGTTAGGAGCCCCAAGCTGGCTCAGCGAGTGCCACCCAGAAGAAATGACGGGCATAGCCGCTGCCAGAGATGAGCCCTAGCCCTGCTCCCGGGAGAGGACAAGTCAGGGACCCGAGCTGTCACCCCTCCTGGCAGACTCCTCATATGTATCGTGGGAATGCCCTGGCTGGGGCAGCAGGAGAATTACAGGAGCCAGGCCCCCTGTGAGCCCGAGAGAGCGATGGGAGCCAGAGCAGCATCAATCACAGAGAACAGCGTGTCGGGAATAGACAAGCGCTTACAACTCAAGTGGCCATCCCCTTGTTCTACCCAGGAAGGAAGGGAATTTCAGAAGGGGGAGCAAGCAGCAAAGCAGAGAGGAGCAAAGCTAGCCTAGCACCTAGCGCCGCGCACCCCCACCCAACCCCGAGCCACTAACTTCCCTCCCACCTGAACCCAGGGAGGGCCCACCTGGGGACACTGGAGCAGGTGCACCAGCCCGAGCCAACCCAGCAATCTCTCTGGGCCTTTGACCTCCACTGTTGACTTCCACCCAGAGCACACAAGCATTTTTAGTTCCCAAGGAATGTAAAGCAGCCACGAGAAGTTAGGACGGAGTTGCTACTTTAAAACAAACACAGGGCTTCCTACATAAGGACCAGGCAGCCACTGGCCACCACCCCACCAGAAGCCTCAGGTAGGCACTCTCTCTACTCTTGTGTGTGGGCTCACGGGCTTAACTTATTCTGACTGTGGGCCATTCACAGGCCCATCTCAACCAAGGGGTACGGGCACTGCAAAACTCGGGGCCGCCTGGCTGCTCAGAGACAGCTGGATTCCCCCCAAATCCCCATGAGGTTCAGCCTCATGACCTTTCATTAAGAAACCTGGCACAAGCTCCTGGGGGCCTGGGACAAATATGGGGAGTCCCACTGCTGCACAGCCTGGGAGTGCATATCCTTCATATCCTTCAATTCGCTACCTGGGGGAGGTGGGCACAAGGAGCCCCTCTAGGAGCGGTGGGACATCCTGGGGCCAAGTCCCCTCACCCCATCTGCTGGGCCCCTACCCGGGCGAGGTCTGGGCCACAGGGAGAGACAGCAGGGCACCGGGCCTGAAGACCCTCTCTCCTCCAGGCCTGCCAGACACCATGCCCTCCCTGGGGACCCTGTGCCGCCTGCTGCTCTTCAGCATGCTTTGGATGGACTTGGCCTTGGCGGGCTCCAGCTTCCTGAGCCCTGAACACCAGAAAGTCCAGGTAAAATGTCTCCCCACAAAGCCCCACATTCAGACTGGGGTCTCTTGTTCCCACCTTGCCACATCACAGCCAGCTGTGTGCTTTGTGACCTGGGCAGTGGCTCCAGGTCTCTGGGCTTCGGCTTTCTCCGAGAGTACCCGGGACACCTCTGGGTCTGACCAGAGCCTCACACCTTCCTCTGGCCCTGCAAGTCTAAGGGGCTTAGGACCCTAAGCGAATACCTCTTTCCAGCAGAGAAAGGAGTCCAAGAAGCCGCCAGCCAAAGTGCAGCCTCGAGCTCTCGAAGGTTCACTCCGCCCAGAAGATACAAGTCAAGTGGAAGGGGCAGAGGATGAGCTGGAGATCCGGGTTGGTTCCCCCTTGCAGCTCTGTTTTTGTGGCCATAGAGGGGGTGGGGAAGGCGGGGGAAGCGGAGGGGAAGCTAGGAATAGGGACCGACCCACTCACTCACTAAGAAATGTAAAATCGTATGAAGAGAGTTGACTCTGAACTGGGCTCTACCAGGTCTTTTCCCATTAAGAGGCAAGTGTCTAAGAGCAGTGACTTTGCTACAATGGAATGGGAAAGGACTGGGAGCCAAGAGCAGGGGAGAAGAGGGCTGCTAGCTAACACCGGGTAATTTCAAAAGAGAGCAAACATGGTGCCAAGAGACAGACAGCAGAGGAATAATCAGCTGATCACAGACTGAAGATGTTTCCCCACAGAAAACTGTCTGGTTGGCCCAGGGGCCTCTCTGACCTTCCCCGGGGCGGGAGCGTACCCAAACGGCACCCTGGACAGGCCAGCTACCGCTACCCTGTCTCTGGCAGCCACTCACCATCCCCAACTGTAGACAAAACAGGATCGATTGTACTTGTTTGGGCTCCAACAAATCTTGCACGGGACAAGGAGAACGTCTGGAAGTAAAGGGGGAGATTAGCGCAGAGAGGCAGTGAAGGGATTTCCTGGAAGGCTGGCTGTGGTTCAGGGAATGGCTCTGCCAAGCATTCAGGTGGCAACAGACGTCTCCATGCAGTGACACCAGAATTCCCATGGGGGAGTACTGAATAATGGTGATCCCTCTACTGCTTGTGCCCACTGACCGATACTGCATTTACAGACTGTCTTACCCTTATTATACACCATTCCGTCTCCACAACAGCCTGTGAGGTAAGGAGGTCTGACATTGTTGCCCTCACTGTATAGATGAGGATCGAAGTTCAGACAGGTGAACCCATGGGCCTGAGGGGCCACAGCCAGTGTGTGGCAGAGGTGGGGCCCAAAGTCGGGGCTGACCCCAGCTCCTGAGCCCCCCTTCCCCTCTGGCCTGCCCAACGGAGCCTACTCGGCAGCCCGAGAGCACCCCCATTTGGCTCTTCTAGTCTGAGAAGCTGAAGCGCATCCTGCCTGGCCTCCCTCCCTACCCACCAGCCTCTTCTATCGAGGACGAACTCCCAACACACGCTCTGACGCTCACCAGAACCTAGGGATGTCCTAGGTGCCTCCTCCATGCCACGTGTAAGATCCCTAACCCACCACATTCCCATTCTGAGTCCTGCAAATTCTCACACTAAAACCGGGGAATTCCCTGATAAGACTGCCAGCCCCGGGCGGCTGGCACTCGCCCCACTCGGCCTAGCTCTCGGTCTGCCCAGACAGACCTAGGGGAGAGGTGTTGCCAGCTTGGTGATGCAAGGTAAGGCTGGGACAACCAGAAGTTTCCAATTCCCAGGAAGGCTGGCCTTGGAGGAGACAGCCCCCACCACCTCCACCAGAACCCGAAGTCTGAGCTGTCTGGGAGGTGCACTGGGGTTGCCAGAGGTGGAGAGGCCTGCCCCCTCGGCTGCGAGGCTCAGGACACATTCCCTAAGCCCCTTCTGGCGCTGCGGTTCCATCTCCCCCACCCTGGGCCCTCTACCTTCCCCGAAACGTGGTCCCCCTGAAATGGACTTTCAGAGCTGGAAGACTTCTGAGACTAAGTCTTATCCCTTCCCCTGCCCCTCATCCCCAACAGAACAGATGAGGCGCTGGGGCGAAATGGGCCTTTTTGAGTCCCCAGAAGCAAACCTCTCCCCAAAAAGTTGCCAGGCTGCCTCTCCCATGCCCCTGCCACCCAGTTCTAGGGTGCTGCAACAGCCAGCAGGCCCTCAGATCGGGGCTCACGTGGTTCTCAAGAAGTCTGCGCGGGCCTCTGACTACCAGCTGCAGGGAGGAAGAAAAAGGAGTACTGGCTGATGGGAGGGAACTTAAGGGCTGGAGTTCCCTCAAAACCCAACCAGGTCATTCCCCACTCCCTCCACCTTCCCCATGGAGACAAGGAAGAAGGTAAACATTTGCAAGGGAACAGGAGCGAGCTATTTGTTTTCTTCATAACTTCTCGGAGCACTTTTGCTCACATGTGAAACAGGAATGACAGCAGTACCTGCCAGGTGGGGAGCCCCAGGAACTGTCCCCAGCGTGGAGGCAAGACCTTCGCCAGGCCCAGTGGACACAGGGCCTCCAGGCCGGGTGTTGCCATGGACCAGGACCAGAACAGGTTCCCAGATGGACAGGTGGGAGTCCTCAGTCTCATCCCCGGCCACCACCACCCTGCAGCCTCGGGCAAGTCCTCAACCTCTCCAGGCCTCCTGTCTGAGGGCAGGGGGCGGAAGGACCAATGACCGAAGGCTCCCTCCCAGCACTAAGATTCCTCAGTGACTCATTCAGACATCAGAGTGACCAGCACGCAGGTGCCAGGTGCCAAGGCAGCTACTCATCCCCGACAGAACAGATGAGCCTGAGGAGCCACTGTCTGCTACTGTCTGCCCTCCTGGGGCGAAAACCATGATGTGGCTGCAAAGAGAGCTCTTTCCCATTTTCCCAAAGCTCTGAGCATCATTAAGCCATCTCCGAGAGTGCTGAGAAAGTAAGGAAAATGGGGTGCTCTCCCTGTAGGAGGGAAGAGACAGAGGCACAGAGAGAAGAAAGCACTTGGCTCAAAGCATCTTTCCAGGGAAAGGTCGGCTTCTTATCTGACTTTCCAAGGAACAAGGAAAGGCCTGTGCCCCTGACAGGAAGAACAGCTGCGGGGGATGGGGGCGGGGGAGGCAGTGGAGGGCCAGAGACCACCACCCAGGCTAGTGCTACGACACTGGGGAGACCCACTATCCTCCCAGTCTCTACCGGACCCTGAAATTCTGCCATTGGTGACTCTACCTTATGTCTTCCAAAATTAAACAAGGCGGAGTGGGAGTAACCTAGGGAGCCCCGCAGCTTCTGTGAGCAACCTCACTAAAGGTAAGGAAAGGATACAAGCTAAGTCTCCTCAAGATGGCAGGGGCAAGGAAGAACTGACCTAAGACGGCAGGGTAAGCTGGCTGAGCTGTCCCACAGTGGTGCTCACTGGGCCACAGGCCCTGTGCCCTCCCTGCCCCATGCTGAGACCCTCAGAGCCACTGCCCTTAGGAGGACAGTGGGTTTGGGAGCATGTGACCTCTGACACCTTCTGGGTCTTCCTTGCCCTTCCTCCTAGTTCAACACTCCCTTTGATGTTGGAATCAAGCTGTCTGGGGCTCAGTACCACCAGCATGGCCAGGCGCTGGGGAAGTTTCTTCAAGACATCCTCTGGGAAGAGGCCAACGGTAAGTCCCTGCCCCAGTCAGGTCATTTCAGTTTCTCTGGAGTCCCAAATGTGAGCCCAGCCTATGGGTGACACAATAGATGTCTTCTTCCCTTACCAGTCTTAAAAAGCTTCTAATTCCTCTTTCCCAAATGTTTGCCAGAGAGCGGGCTGGTGGGATTTGTGAGTGGCTAGGAAGTGGGGTGAGCACAGCCTTTGTATTCCAGGAACACACTATTTCAAGAAGTAGCACATTAACTACCTCTGGGGCCCCAGGGAACCCCAATTTCCTAACCATAAAATGGAGCTAACACCCACTCTGATAGCATAAAATTATTTGATGTTAAGTACTTTCACTAGATAACTTTGCTTCATAAACAAAAGGAATTAGTGCTACAATTAGAATTAAGCCAAGGTTTCTAGGTTTTGTTGTGAATCCCTTCTTGGCATGTAGAAAGAAACCACCCAATCTGTTGCTGATGGGGGGGGGGGGCAAAGGAAGCACAGGACCACCTGCAAATCACGTCCCTAACCAACATGGCCCCAGCCTCCACTCCCCACCAACCACGTGAGGGAGGCAGAAGCAGGGCTTTCAAGTCGAGGTGCAGATAAGGAAACCAAGACTCAGCTTTCAGGTGACAAGCCCAAGCCACACACCGCACACTCCAAGGCCAATATCGGGCTCTCCCCCTGCACTACAACGCACCACTTCTGACATCAAAACTGGAAGCAAAGCCATCTTTGATGGCACTGGGAGGATGGCGGATGTGGAATTTTGACTTGATTTCTTGCTTTTCAGAGGCCCTGGCAGATGAGTGATCAGCCACAAGACCAGCCCCGCCTGTGTGTCCTGCAACGTTGGCAGCACTCACCTGCTTGTACACTGCTTCTGCAACAGCTCCCAGCTCTGAGTGGTAGACTAGCTTCAGAGGTGAATAAACATTCAAATCGTATGCTGAACATTCAAAGCAGAAATTTATTTCACCAAAGATGATAACTTCACGTTTCACTGAAAAAAAAAAATCTTTTCTAAACTACGGTCAAAGGAAGAGAAAAGAAGGCTATGTAGTATAAGGCAGGTATGAACGCTTAGGAAACCAAGAAAGGAAGTGGGGGTAGTGGGGGATGACAGTTCTTGTAAATATCACAGCTTCCCGAGCACAGTGGAGTTACAATGAGAGATTAGTAACCATCACCAAGGACTGTGAACCAAAAAACTTCAGGGGACCTCATCAGAGCCCACACCCACGAACTGACATTCACGATCACAGCAGGATCCTGGGAATGCCAAAGTGTGAGTCTGAGGTTATAAGTAAGTGGGGTGCTTACAATGGCTACCAGCCACTGCTAGACAGGGCTGAAATAACTACTTCTCCCTCCTCCTTGTCCACTACTGATAAGACATGGCAAAGCAGGTGCATGTGGGCAAGGCTGGGCACTGCCTTGGTGACTTAGCGATATCAGGTAGGTGTTCCTAAAGATTGCCAACTCCAGTGCACAGCTGAATTGAGCCTTGAGCCTAATGTTCCACAGCTTAGTTCCACTGAGGACACCAGCTTTCCTGGAGGAAGGTCAGTTACGAGTGATTTACACTTGAGCAAATGTGTGAACTGGTTGCTAAGAACCGGCATTGACAGATGATGGGTGAATCACTAAAGAGAAAAAAAAGACTAAGGAGGCTCCAAATAGAAGCACTACCAATCCAGACACATGAATACCTTTTAGAAATATGTAGGCCAGCCCTCAGCAGGTTGGGGTAATATGCACACTCTGGAAAAGCCTTTGTCAGAGGGCCGTAAGAGCCACATCTCTTCTCCAGTAAAATTCTGGCCGGCCACCTGGCCCTTGAGGCACAGCCCTACTGGCACTAACCACAATCACACTCGGCAGGCACACTGACACCCAGCTGCCAGCCCACGGCAAGGAATGCCATGTGGACCGTGGAACTCACCAGCATCCAAGGATCTCTTAGAGATGCAGAATCTTGGGGCGTCTGGGGGGTCTCAGTCGGTTCAATGGCCAACTCTTGGTTTTAGCTCAGCTCGTGGTGCAGGGGTGGGGGAATGGAGGCCAGGGTGGGGCTCCGCACTCCGCAGGGAGTTGGCTTCAGGATTCTCCCTCCACTTCTGCCCCTCCCCCCACGCCCAGGCTCTCACTCTCAAATAAAGAAATGCATCTTTTTAAAAAACAGAAGAAATTCAGAATCTTGGGCCCCAGCCTGGCCCTACTCTATCAGGATCAGCATTTAGCAAGATCCGCAGGCTATTAAGTGGCTTATTTAAAGTGGCTGAGAGGCAACCAGATCCTATTCAATTTGGGGCAGCTCCACACAGGGCGGAACACAATTCCCTGCCTGGCCCCGAACCAATGTCGTTCCCCACGTGAAAAAGAAACATCGGACCTGGCCAGGTGACACCCTCAACAAAACTGAGAAAACACCACTCTCACTCACCTCCTGCCATTTCTCTAGCCCCAGCCTGCTGTCAATACCACATCCACTCCTTGTCTGCCCCCTCCACACCCCTGTATCCCATATGTCCAGACACTGCCTATATGACCACACATGGACTTCGCTCACCAAGTCCTCACTTCTGAAATCAGCTACCTCTAAGACTCAGTAGTAAGACTGAAAGGTATTAACCCTTTAAAGAAGCTAATGTACTGGAGGACAGATGAACTGGGTGGGGCAAGGGAGGGAAGAGGGAGAAAGGCAGTAGAAGGGGAGGGAAAGGACCTTCCTCAGCCTCTGGACAGCCAGCACCCAGCACTGATGCAGAGACCAGCCCACCATCCTGCAGCTTAGTTAGAGCTCAGTCACTTAGTAGGGCCACAACTCCCATCATCACTAACCAGGCCCACAGCCCTCTTCTCAACAGCCAGAGAAGGATCCAAGGCCCACACATGGTCAAAGTGACCTGGGGAGGTAGCTTGTGGCCCAGTGAAGCAGCAAGCACAGACAGGGCTCTGGGCAGGATGTGTGCCAGGCCCTGAGGGGAATGCTGGTCACCTGATGCTCCCCCCAGCGAAGACGAGGACTTACTTCTCTCCAAGAACTCACCAGCACTCTGCCCCTCTTGCCTCAGTCATTCCTCTAAGAAATAAGATGCTGAGGGGCGCCTGGGTGGCTCAGTGGGTTAAGCCTCTGCCTTCGGCTCAGGTCATGATCTCAGGGTTCTGGGATCGAGCCCGCATCGGGCTCTCTGCTCAGCTGGGAGCCTGCTTCTCCCCTCTCTGCCTGCTGCTCTGCCTACTTGTGATCTCTGTCAAATAAATAAAATCTTAAAAAAAAAAAAAAAAGAAGAAAAAGAAAGAAAGAAGATGCTGAGCACCCACTCTCGACCAGGTACTCTCCCCTGGGCCAGGGAGTGTGATGGGATGGGAAGGCTAGGAGCTTCACACTCAGACCCCCATTTGAATTCCCGACCAAGACGTTGAATTCCTCAGGCTCCTCACACATCAAACACCTCCTTCCCTGGGTTACTGTCAAAACCGAACACAGTATCCCCCACACACAGACACCAGGCACGTAGGAGGCCCTCCGTTATTCTCACCACCGCGTTCCTGCTGTGCAGCGGACACTGGTCTACATACGGACATAGAACATGTACTCTGTGTTGTTTCAGGTAACCATCACAAGCCCACTGAAGAGGGAGGAAAGCGCAGTTCAGAGGAATTAAGTAACTTTCCAAAGTCACACAGCAAATACACTGTGGACTCCTATCCAGAACTACAGTATTTGAGTCCAGGCCTCAGTCACTGCTTCCCTTGCCCTGTGATCCAAGGGGCTTCTTTTCTCATTTTCCTTCCTAATACACTGGGTCAACCTAGAGTGCAGTGACTGAGAGAAAGAAAATTTAGCAAAGGAAACACTTGACAAAACATAGCATTTCAAACATGGTACTACTGTCAGTTTATTATTTTTAAAGTAGTCTCGCCCAGCATGGAGCCCAGTGTGGAGTTTGAACTCACAACCCTGAGATCAAGACTTGAGCTGAGATCAAGAGCCAGACACTTAACCGACTGAGCCACCCAGGGCTCAACTTTCTTAAACCTCCATGCATCATTTAATGATCCACTAACTTAAGTCTCTCTGAAACAGGGTGTATTTACCCCCGGGGGAGTGAGATACTTGCTGTAAAAAAATTCTCCTTATAAGAAACTCTGGTGTTTCACAATAACCCTGGTACACTGTACAGCAGCCTATATATTTATTTGATTATACGCTTATAGCTTTGTACTCAGAAATTCCTGTGACAGTGGGCAAATCGAACAATGGAGACCCATGCCCCAGTACCTTCCTAATCTGAATACACCTGGTCATCACTGACAAACAAGCACTCACTGTGACCTGGGGGGTGGGGGGGCACCAATAAACACCTGCGCCATCCCTGTCAGGGGCACTCTGTTCCATCACCTGTACCTCAGTGGCCCTGTGCTCTGATTTTATACAACTAAGTGACATAAACATCAAAGTGCTGACAATAAACAATTAGTGACTGGTCCCAAGCTTAATACAGAGAGAAAGACAGAAGCACCTAAAAAGCCGAGAGCAGCAGATTTCTAGCCACAAATAAGACCACCACAGAGCGGATGCAATCAACTGTGTATTCACCTGGGAAGGAATGGATGAGACAAAGTGACGGGATTTTGCTGAAAATATACCATCAATGACAGGGTCTCAATGACGCATCGACTCCAGTTTCAGATTTCTTTAGCATTCTTGGAACGCAGCCTTCCTTTTCCCAGTTTACTTTTAACCTGTGCACCACTGTTCATTAATACCTTAGCACAAAATGAGAGGACTGACCACAAGTAGTGACACAGGGCTTCCCCCGAAGTTTGCCCAGAGGCGTCAGAGGAGCTCACGGTCCAAAGTGCCCCCTTCAGTACAATGGATTTAGACACCACCACCCTTGGGGGCTCCATTTTTCCCAGAGCACTGCGGAAGAGGAAAGAAAAGATCCACGCACTCACTTCTGAGTTACCTGGCAATAAAATGGTCAAAGCTCAAGAGCAGCCGAACTCGTAAGAAGGTACCAATGTATTCTTACTATCGCTTTACTTATTTTTTTAGTATTTATTTGACAGAGAGAGGGAGAGAGCATAGGCAGGGGGAGGGGCAGGCAGAGGGAGAGGGAGAGAGAGAAGCAGGCTCCCCACCAAGCAGAGAGCCCGATGTGGGGCTCAATCCCAGGACTCTGGGATCATGACCTGTGCCGAAGGCAGACGCTCAACTGAGTCATCCAAGTGCCCCAATTATTACTACCACTTTAATTTTGCAGAAACACACATGTACACTCGAAAATTTCTCCAGACCTTTGGATTCTCGGGTTACAAGGATTCTCAGGTTACAACAACTTAACTGTTGTCGTCACTCTGAGAAATCTGACCAAACAAGGAGAGCACAGGAGCTGGCTGAAGACCAATCACTTTATTTACAGAAAGAGATGGCCAAAAGGGGCAGGGGGTGGGGGGAGATACAGATGCATTCCGGCAGCACAGCAAACACAATCACATCAGCCAGCCAAAAATCAAATCAAAAACAGTGCCCACCGGCTTTTGCACCCACACCAGTCATGTTTCACTGGCGACACTCAGATAAGACCATCTTAAATCCTAGAGGTGAAAGTATATAGCACCTTGTGCTTTACCTTGGCAGGGAGGCAACACAGGTTTGGGGACATCCACTCCATCCTCCCGGGAACCCTCCAGAGCAGGGCCCGTCCGCTGCCAGCATGGGCAGTACTGACGTACAGGGCTTTTGGTGAAGGGGCTGGACAGGCTGCAGTTCGTTGGGGCGACAGTAAAGCACCCTGAAATACTCAGTCCTCTGATTCCTCCAAGCAGGAGGACAAGCCCCCACTGGCAAACAAGAGGCCCAGACAACCCACGGCTGACCTGTGGAAGGTCGACCGTGAATCAAGGCCTACCTCCCAGGCCAGTGACAGGC